CCTCGGAAACTCTGTGCAGGGTCGCTATGAGTTGGAACCGACTCAACGGTACTTAACAACAACAAACAACAATGATACTATCAGATATATATGATATTTGTATTGGTTTTGGTTATTATCATAAGAGGGTGTGTTGAGATGGTTGAGAAGTGTGTTGAGAAGTGAAACATAATTGTTGTGTAGGAGAGATGTAGCTTGGAAAACATGTCTATGTGGTGCCTAGCACATAGGTGGTGGTGGTTGTGTGCTGTTGAGTTGGTGCCAACTCATAGGCACCCTGTATAGGGTTTCTGAGGCTGTAAATCTTTATGGGAGTAGAAAACCTCATTTTTCTCCTGCATAGCTGTCGGTAGATTTGAATTGTTGACTTTATGGTTTGCACCCTAGCTCAGAATCTACTATGCTACCAGGGCTCCTTCTAGCACCTTACAGGTACTCAATAATATTTATAGAATAAATAAATCAAAGAACAATGTTTTTCACTCAAACATTTATTGAGCCCTAACTAAGTATTGAACGTATTTAGAAAGAAGAAAAACTGGCCCAGTGGGAGAATGGTCCAATGAATAGAACAAACAGACTAAGTGTGGAAACTCTCAGTTTTCATTATTACCAAAGATAGAATGGTTGTGGCCTTAAGTGATCCTCATATATTATTTATTACTTCAAGTATGAAACCACCTCTGAGTTGCTGATGTCTCTGAAATCCTGTAAGAAGAATCAGATGCTCCCAACAAGTGAATCCAGTGGAGAGATCAGGAACTTCTCAGTGCTCCAGCTGCTCTGGGCAAGACTGTGAAACAGATAGAGGGTATCTTTACTCCAGGCCAGTCTCTCAAGTCTTTTTTATTTTGGAGCCATCACTTTCTCATCCCTCTCAGACAATCAGTGATGGTTATGGTCTCTTCATTTGTCACAATAAAACCTGAACTTGCTTAGAAGGTACAGATGGAAAATGATTGAATGTCTCCTTATACCTCTGTAGAGCCATATATTCAAAGTGCTTTTATAGAACATGAAGCTGTTTTGATCTTATTTGACAAATTGTTACATCTCCCAAGGGTAAGACATTAAGCATCAGGCTGTTTTGTAGCATCTCTTGAAATTATATTATGAAGGGAGGAACTCATGAGGCAACTTCTAGTTCTGTGTGGAGATACAGTGAAATCTGAGAGCTGGACCTTAATGGATTACCTTCTTTTTCCAGGTCTCGAAAGGTTTCTGCCTTTTACAGGGTACAGTCGTACCACTTTTCTATCACTTATTTTTGTGGAAAATATTACAGTTTTCTTTTTATTACAAGTTTCCATCTTACACAATTTCTGGCTTTTACAAGTTTTGTAGTAGCAGGGACTTTTCAAGAGCTCGTGAGCTAGAACATGCCAAAGACAATAAAAATCATCCAGGTCATGCAAGCAATTTATGATTATCGAGTCCAAAACCAAAGGCTAACGGCTTTGAGCTATTAAGAAGAAATTTGCTTTCCTCTCTCTTGCTGGTATTCCCAAGGTAAAGGTGATTTAATTGGGAAAATGTGCCATCAGTGTTGACTTGGTGATCAGCACACATCCTACATTTGAGACCCGTTACGTTTATTACCAAGGAGCCTTGGTAGCGTAGTGGATTACAAGCTGGTCTGCTAACTGCAAAGTCAGCAGTTTGAATTTACTAGTAGCTACATGGGAGACAGATGGGACCTTCTTCTCTCATAAAGATTTAGAGCCTTGGAAACCTTCTGCAGGGTCACTGTGTGTCAGAACCAACTCCACGACACATAACCACCACAACCACCAAGGGAAAGAACCCACTGCCACCACCTTTAGTGTGATTGGTTTTGTGTCTTGTCAATTTTGGAATTAGAACTGGGTTTATGTAAGACTCCACAAGGTCTTGAAAACTATCATTAAACTTGAATATGATTATCTAAATACTACTTATTTGCTCAGCATACAGACTGAATAGGTATAGTGAAAGGATAAAGCTGATGTACAGCTACCCAGATTTTAAGCTATGCAGTATTCCCCCTTTTTGAACGACTGCCACTTGGTGTATGTACAGGTTCTGCATGAGCACAGTTAAGTGTTCTGGAATCCCCATTCCTTGTAATATTATCCATAATTTGTTATGATCTACATTAAAATGCCTTTGTGTAGTATTATAGAGTGCATTATGGCTTTAAAATATGCATTGTAAATCCTAACCCCTATGCCTGTGGTTGGAGTCCTGGTGTGGTGTTGTGGGTTAATGTGCCAGACTGCAAAGCCGTTTGAACTGCAAGGTTGGCAGTTCAAGTTCACCAGCTGCTCCTTGGAAACCCTATACAGGGTCGCTATGGGTTGGAATAGACTCGACAGCACTTCACAACAACAACAACAACAACTACTTTTTACTTATTGATATCACTTAGTTTCACTATTTCATGGTAACTACTAGTCACAGCTTGGTGTCAATATTGTGTGTGTGTGTGTGTTTTAAAAATGGGATTATGCTATAGTATTTTATAATGCTATTTTCCACTGAACATAGAGTGTTCTTCTCCTTCTTGGTCGCTTTCCTACAACGTAGCTTGACAAACTATGGCCCTTGGACCGGATCTTGCCCACAGCCTGTTTTTTTGTAAATGAGATACATAAGCATATCTATTCATTTATGTATTGTTTAGGGTGCTTTGATGTTATAGTGGCAGAGATGAGTGGTTGTAACAGAGACCATATGGTCCATCAAAGCTTAAAATATTTGGTGTTTAAGAATTTACATAAAACATTTGTCATTCCCTGACCTGAAGTGTAATTAATAATTATTAGTGTTATCTATTGAGATTTTATTATGCTCTGGGTTCAGAATTATAGTTAAGAACATGAATTCTGAGTCATTATCCTAGGTATGAGTCCTGGCTCTGCCATTTACTATGTATGGGATTATGGGAACGTAAACCTCTGAAGACCTTAGTTTCAATAATATGATTGTGAAGCATTATGCCTGGCACAGAAAGTTTAGTAAATGTCTAATAAATGTTAGCTATTATTAATCTTATTATCATTTTCTCAGTCTAACATCAAAGCTGTCCTGAGAGGTACAGTTGGGCTCCAATGATAAATATGAGACTAAGTAAGTAATTTGCATAAGGTCATTTAGAAAGTAAGTAATTGCAATATCATCATTTATTCCTTCTTTTATTCAGTAAGTCAATCAAAAGACTATTGACTGATTGTCTCCCAAGAGCCCAAATGCTGTCCTAATGGCTAGGAATTCAGTGCTGAACAAGTCTTTTCCCCAAAGTAGCTTCTGTTCTAGCAGGAAGAAGAAGACAATAAAGATATAAAGACAATTTCAGGTAGTTATTAATTAGGAGGACAATGCAATAGATAAAAGGGCAGAGAACTGTTACTTGAGCTAAGGCAATCAGGAAAGGTTTTTCAGGAGGTGACATTTGACCTAAGACCTGAATAAGGACTGCTTATGAATCAGTTCGTGAGCAAAGCATTCCAGGGTAAGGAATCACCAGCATGGAGGCTCTAAGCCTGCACTTACTTGTTGAGGAACAGTGAGGTCAAGGTGACTGGAGTATAGTGAGTGAGAGTGTTAAGAGATGACATCAGATTCGAGATTTTTATTCTCAGCATGGTATGGGAAACCAGCAGAGAATTTTAAGCATGAGGGTGAAGAGCAGAGAGGAAGTAAGGAGAATGCCTAGGTTTTGGCATAAACAGCTAAATAACTGATAGATAGTGATATAAACACCTAGGGAAGATTGTGTAGAAATGCGTGTGGGTGTATGTGTAAAATGAAGAGTTCATTTTGAGTCTAATAGCTATGTTAGAAAAAGATGGGACCTTCTTCTCCCATAAAGACTTAGAGCCTTGGAAACCCTCTACAGAGTAGCTGTGAGTTTGAACCGACTCCACGACATGTAACCACCACTACCACCAAGGGAAAGATCCCACCTTTAGTGTGATTGGTTTTGTGTCTTGTCAGTTTTGGAATTAGAACTGGGTTTAATTCAAAGACTTGAAATGAGGAAAAGGCAGTTGAATTTTTAAGTCTGGACCTCAAGAAAAGAGGTCAGGACTTTATATATTGATTTGGTAGTCATCTGCATATGGATGGTGTTTGAAGTCCCAGACTAGATGAGATCACCAAGCATGGAGTATAGATAGAGAAAAGGGCTTCAGAATAACATACAGGGCCCATGTGAGAACAACTAGCAAAGTGAGTTAGAGGAAAATGAGGAGAATATAGTATGAAGCTTGGAAATAGAAGAAAGTGCTTCAAGGATGTCATGACCAACTGTTTTAAATGTTTCTGAAATACCTGATAATTGACCAAAGAATTTAGGAAAAAGAAGGATGTGGGTAATCTTGAAAAGTAAAATTCAGGAGAGTGAGGAAGAAAGCCCAGTCCATGGGGCCACATTGATAGAGGCATGTATTAATAGTTCTTTTGAGAAATTTTACTTCTTCAGAAGCAGACAAATGGGGTAATAAT